AGATGATCAAACTCCCGTCTTCCTGCTCTAATTTTGCGACTCAGGGCGGGAAGCCTCGATCAGGCCTTGTATGATCGACATAGTCCTGTTTCAAGCGATGTATCAGTTGAGATCAATCATTCATGAGCCCGCTCAAGCCAGAGTATGAGACACTACCTGAATTTGAGCATCTCGCAAGGTTGCAACAACATAACGCTTTCTGAGATCTGACGCGCATCCAACTGTGGTAAAGGATCTTTAGGCCACCCATTGCCACTACATTAAGGACCGTCCATGAAAGGTCAGGCGATCACATGTCCTTTGTATATAGACATGACGCCATTTGACGACAACTTTGCTTCCTTCCTGCCATCAGCTCGCCTCCGACAGGTTATATTAAGGGGCGACCAATGACGATCTTTGATAAGAGAAAGAACCAACAGACCAAATGGAGGGCTAAGCATTCAACTCTGTCAACGCCGCAAGGTAACCGTTTTAGTCCCTTGGATGATTCAGGAAGACGGAGGAGGCGTCGGACCAACGCAACCTAAGAAACCCTATGCCAGAACTTGGAATTACAGTGCGTATTTTCGCCGCCACCCTGCCGTGTTCTATGTTCTGACTCGTCGTTGCGTCAGTTGCCCTGGCTAAGCGTCGGGCCTAACGGCCGCCATCCCTGCTCCTGGCAAGGTCTTAGAGCCCAATCAGTCAATTGTGCAATTTGTGGCCAGGACAGGCCATGTCCCATTGGGAAAGCAGTGCGAATGTGCCGTGACTGAGCGGAACAACAAGGGCAGCGGTCGTATGGAGAATTTGCAGTGTCAAGATTCCAGATTTCAGAACGTCATGTATCGAGGGGCTTTAGGAGACATAAGTCGAAGTTTCGAGAATGGGCATCGATATTCAAAAGGGAAACCCGACTCTTGGAGCCCAGTCATTCGTGACCACCAAAAGCTGGTTTACTGCAAGTCCGCCGAACTATTGAATCATGACAGACAGCTTGGTATTTTGGGCTAGCTCAGTAGTCTCAGTAAGAGCTGAGACTGTGCACGGCTCCTGCAGCTTGAAGTCTGATCCTGAACCCACTCTGCTGTAGTCTGTAATACTAATCCCTAGTTGGAGCTACCGCGGAGTTGAGGCCGAGATTGGTCAAGGTCTTACTTTTGACGCTTATTTACTACCATGTACCTGTGCGAATGCAGATCACCAATCATCATCGAGGAAAGACAGCTGTCTGCCAGGTACTGGATCCAAAGCAATAATACATTACGGAGTAGTAAACAGTTACAAACCAGCAGCTCAGAAGGGCGCACGGAAATTTGTCTTGCCGGGGACCCCAGCTGGTTGGTACACTTGGCGGATCCGAACTTCCGCCACCTTCGCAAGCTTACTACAGCCAGAGAGGGTCCAAGGCTCCACGGCCAGGCACGAGGAACCGAGGTGGATTTTCGAGGGGAAATATGGGGTAACACACAATAGTCTCGAGAATGAAGGAGAGTGTGTAACTCGATCTCGTTTTAGGTATTATCGAAATCGGAGATCAAACGCACTGATAAATTATGAGACCAAGATGCAGATCCGCACTGAAGCATTTGTTGTCTGGGGAGAGGATGGGGAAAGAAATCACTTGCATTATTATTAGGCAATCCGAACCAACATCACACCACCACCTAAGGCATTTTTACGGATAGAATTGAGTAAGTAATTTCCGGATCCTTGACTCTCTGCGCGATAGTTTGCATCAAGTGACTAAAAAAATTGGTCTTTGCCACTGAAACCGCGAGAAAGATCATCCAACAGAAATCATGGAAGGAGCCAGTCAGAGTGGGCTGCGGGGTAAACATTCTCCATGTCTCACTCTTCTCTGTCATCCAGTCGGTCATCCACACACCCGCACCAAACAACATCGCTTAGGACGAACCCGAGTTCCGATGGAGGAGCAAATGAGGGTCCGGGGGCGGGACTGGGGTTGTGATAGCCAGTCCTTACTGTTTATCACTTAGTGCCTGCAGACTAGGCCATTAGTGCAGGGGCTCTACCAATCTCGAAGGCGAAAAATGATCAATGTTGCAGCGCTAACATGGTAGCTGCGGAGGATTGTCCTATTCAGGTGTGACTGTGTGGTGGTTCCTTAGGTATCCGTGGATATTGACTAGCGTAAAGGTCTGCTTTTCCAGTCGTCCCTAGCCATCAAGTAGCAGCCCAGGCTGAGGATCAACAGGCCGTGTCCTTACTGTCGACACGAATCAAGCAGAGTCCAGACCGATGATCTTGCCCCATCCATCCAAACAATGATTAATCCCTCGTTGCCCTTCCCCAGATCCCGGTCACTCATTCGTGATTGGCGACGAGAGACTCCAAAGTACCTACTGTAGCATCAGAGTCCAGTCAATTCGTACTCTTAGGGAGTGGCCATGATCTAAGAATAGTCTCATCCATGGCTAGAATCCGGGAAGCTGCCCCTGATCCGACTTTCCTCGGCCCCAAGTTCAAGTCCGTAGATTACTTCCCCCCCGTGCATGTGAGGTTTAATCTTAAATCCCTGTACCAGGCCCTATATATACAACCTCCCAGGTCACTGCTCGATCCTTTCTTCCTCTTGTCTCTCAGATCCCAAAGAAGAAAATCCAGATCCAGTCTTTCGCTTGCTCGGTCGATCCCATTCGTTTGGCTCACTCGATTCTGTCCATCTATACACTACATTTTTAGATACAACTAATCTATAATACCACCCTTCGTTGGTCAAGATGCGTTTCTCTGCCCTCCTCGTCACTCTCGGCCTCACCGGTGCCCTGGCCACGCCCACTCTGGTCTCTCGTCAGGCCGCTGCCGTCGGTGTCATCTCCGACATCCAGGCCCAGACCTCTGCTCTGGCCTCCGCCGTCTCCTCCTACAACGGTGGTGACCCCTCGGCCGTCAAGTCCGCCTCCGAGAAGCTCGTCAGCACCATCAACACCGGTGTCGACACCGTCAAGAGCGGCGCTGACCTCAGCACCGCCGATGCTCTGGCTCTGACCTCCCCCGTCCAGGACTTGACCAAGCAGGTCCAGGGCGTCGTCAGCGACCTCATCTCCAAGAAGGACAAGTTCGTCGCCGCCGGCGCCGGTAGCACCGTCTACCAGGACCTCCAGTCCCAGTACACCGCCGCCGACAACCTGGCCAAGGCCATCTCCGCCAAGGTCCCCTCGTCCCTCTCCGACATCGCCGCTCAGCTCTCCGCTGGCATCACCGCCGCCATCCAGAAGGGTATCGACGCCTACAAGGACGTCGCCACCTCCACCGGCTCTTCTTCCTCCTCTTCTGCCTCTGCCACTGAGACCAAGACTGCCACCGAGACTTCCACCGGTACCACCACCAAGACGGCCACTTCCACCGCCGTCATCCCCACCGGCACCGCCTCTGGCAGCGCTCCCCCCTCCACCACCGCTACCCCCACCAAGGGCGGCTCTGGCTCCAGCACTGGCTCTGCCACCGCCTCCAGCAGCACCAACCTCCTCGCCACTGGCGCCGCCAGCAAGGAGCACTTCAGCTACTCTCTCGGCGGTGCCGTCGTCGCTGCCGCCATCGCCGTCGCTTTCTAAGCGCCCCCTTTCTGGCTTTGACGATTGACTCTTGTCAAACACTAGTCAGACGGCGGACGGCGGAGAGCAACGCAATGATGCGATGGGAACGTTGATGATGATCAGTCACGAGGCAAGACCAGGGTTCCAACGATCGGTTCATGAGAATGCTACGCGAGGACAATGGCAATGACGCCATCGGGCTTGTCGGCTTTCCATCCGATCTTTGTACTTGTTAATCGACCGTCGGATCCGGGTCACCGGCTTGGATCCGTCTGTACGCAATATAGTTTTAATAATTGATATCTCTGTATACTTGTCAGTGCGCTGTCTTCTTCCACGTAGCTTAGTAGAGTAAGTGCTTGTCTGTTAGTCTTCACTTGAGTCAGCAAATGATTTCGAGTCATTGTCCCTAGGCCTTGAATCACAATGTGTTGGCTTTGAGCAAGTTGGGCAATGTAATATTATGCCGATGGACATGGTCCTGCATCCCAGGATTGAGATTGACGGCAGTCTCGCTCATCCAAGCTTCGTCGTTGAACTCCATCGCATGGAATTCTTTATAAAACGCGCTGAAATGAGGATTACTCTCAGTCCGAAAAGAACTTTTGTGGCCTTCCAGTCGGTGCAGGTGCTGGGGCAGAATGTGTCATCCCTTGGACTGACAACCGCTGAAGACAAGCTTGCTGCCATTGCGAAGCTGAAGTTCATGTTAACATTAGCGGATCTCAATATGTATGGTGGGCTAACCGGCTGGATGCAGTCTTACGTTCCCGACTATTCCGCAATCACCCAGCTGCTGCAAGACCGAAAAACATGGCTATTGAGTCGAGGTTCCTCGAAGGAAAAAGGCACGTCAGTTTTACACAGAAAGAATGCCTTTAGATTATGTTACTGACAAGGGATGTGAGCCCTTCAGCTGCTTGCAAGTCCACCTCAAGGATCCAGAATGCTTGCAACCAAAACACAGAATGCTTGTTTCTGTATGGCTATTTCCATATGTTTCTTTGAGCGATTCTTTGTGTTGCTTCTTCTTTATCTATTCACTGTTTGACCATGGCTATTTGCATCCAGCTCACTGTTCGCCCCTCCTATTATTGCTTGATAATAATAAGCAAGTTAACTATCTCTTCCATTGCACCCTCGCACAACACTTCTTCCTTCCACACCTCATCTACATGTCTCATTCAGACGCGAATCACCTCTTTCATCTCCAAACCCAATAGTTGAGGCACCGCCTATGGTTTCTCCGAGTCGATTGTTCAGAACCCAACTTGATACCTTTTTTGCACAAGTCGACTGAGCCACACCCGTCTCCTACGGAACGGCTTGAAAACAACCTCATACGGAACGGCGTGAAGAACAACCTACCACAGGCGAGTCCGTGGTAGAGCCTACGACCACACCTCCCTTATCGGAGAGTCTACGCTGCACAATATCGACACCACCGACGATTACACTATGGGAGCAAAACGTACACCGAAGAAGAACAAGGGTAATGCAGCTGCTGAGGCAGTTGCTATTCTGGAAAAGCGCATTCAGGACTCTCAGAAAGTGGCGCAAGACCTTGATTACGGCCCTTTTATATTCATGCCCCACGAATGGCGGGTCGCTGTCGATTTTGCCAAGTTTCCATTGAAATCTGCACCACCGTCTGTCCCGAAATTCCAGGAAGAAAAGGTTCCCATGACACCGGTTGGCATTATCAAAGACTTGCCATACAGCTACGATAACTTGCATGATTGTTTTTACCGATTGGCATACACCACAACATTCCTAAAAGCAAAGACCTGCTCGCCATGGTACGAGCTATGTGATTCCACAGGGAAAACAGTGAGATCAGAGGACTGCTGTCTGCTCCCGTCGTATAACAACGACATCGATCGGCTTAAGGTAGCGAAATCATCGTTTGAAGAACAGATTATGCAACTTGAACAAGCCTACGGCGAGTACACATTTAAGATGGTTCATTTTCGCAATGAACAACGAGCATGGGAGGTGGCTTTACTATCATCAATCCACCAGGCCAAGCTCTCGCCAATCCACGACGACAAGACTATGGCAAAAATCTGTACATGGGAAAGACAACAGCTGCGCAAGGAAGACGATGGCCAATTTGATACGTTCTATTATGGCAATGCAACAGTGCCAGACAAGCGCCCTGTATATCCCTTGCAATGGAACAGACCGCGCGGCCCCCCCTTACCCCAATTTGTGCCACAACAACTGAAGGATCTACGGTCATCGATCGACAAAGTTAATCAGGCCATCTCTAACCTTACCGAACTCCAGACTCAAAGCACGACGGGTGCCAGCCACAACAAACGCTCGTTTTTCAAGCTTAGTAATGATGAAGATGAAGACACCGAACAACTCACATTGCCTGACAACCTCTCACTCTACCTGGACTGGGTAGCTTATAGACACGCAGTCTGGGATGCTGCTGGTCTACCCGGGCCAGACGAGGACCTACTCGAAAAGTACAATCTCCCTCAGCATATTGACAGTGATCGCATTGCATGGTCAGCATCTCTTAAACAGTTGGGAGTGACGAGACTAAGGATTGATGAGGATCTCACGGCCTTTCCATGGGGCAAACCGGCAATTGCGCTACAACGCACCCTAGAAAAAGCGACAGGATATACCAAGGACTCATTGTTTAGCGACAAAGCAATGAAGGCACTTAGACGCATCGAACAGTGGTACTTCACCTGTAATGCCGCCGATAGGACAGCACTTTCATCGAAAGTCGTTGATGAATGGGCGATCACTGCCAAGGGCAGGACATACGTGATACAAGCTCTCGAACAACTTGGTGCCACAAAAGAAACACACCCCACTTTCTTTGCATGATACATTAGAACCCTCCTTGTCGCTCCATTCTTTTCGGCATGCGTTCTTCTCTCCCTTGTCTTATAAGGCACCCTGGTTTACACAGTGACCACTCCGCTGACACATTTTTCTTTTGTTTCACCTGCAGAGGCCGTTCTTCAGCTGCGTCTAATGCCTTCCTGCTTCAGTGATATCCTGGTTTTACCACTACTCTCCCTGTGTTGTTTTATGATTTCCGTCAGTGCGTCATTCACTCAGTTGCGCGGTTATCCTGGCAGCGACACCTTTATGTTCATCCAGACCTACCACTCCGTTGTCCTGTCTGACCACGCCTTAACTCCTGGTCAACTGCCAACAACATCCCCCCGAGTTGAGTCGTCCCCATGCTATTGTTCTTTAAAAATGACATATGCATTACTCTCTTTTTTTTTCTGTTCTTTTTTCTCCTTTCCTCATCGCTCATCGGGGATGTTGTATGTCCACGGTCACGTAGCACCAGATTGTTTAACAGCTTAGCTACTGTACATAACTTGACAATAACAATACTCCCCTGACATACAGCTTCGCCACAAAGTAGCACGACCATTGGACGTGTTTCTCTCGAAGTGCACGACAAAGTGATATGGCCACTACTCCATATACTTCTGTGACTGAGAAGGTCAAGAAGAATGGGCGGAGAACTACTCGATGATAACGGACAGAGCGTCACCTGGTTTGCAACAAGCAGTAATAGATCAGAACTGTCACATAACGATATTATAATCTCCCATGAAATACAACAGCAATAAACGAGTAAATAAATTATAATCAGACGATAAGGAAGAGTTGTTGTCCGTCAGAGGGGGTGTCAAACACAACCAAAAAATAAAATAAAAAATAAAAAAAACATGGACACGGGGAGAGTCGAACTCCCGACCTACGAGGATCAAACGACCTCATAAGCTCGTCGCTCTAACCAACTGAGCTACGCGTCCGTTGTTAGTAATGTTAGTCTAGTTTTATAATTCATATCGTCATTTGCGTTTTGGAGCATCTACCATGTCGAAAAGATTTTAACCAGGTGGGCAGGCGAAAAAAAAAAAAAAAAATTGTTAGTCTGCGAATAATTTGCTCTTCCCACTTCGGCTCGGGTATGAGTATGAATGATTTGTGGGAGTTTGATGTGTTGATGTGTCCAAGTGGATGTCCTCGTTTGCGACCGGATTCAACCTTTGCTAACAAAATGCATAGTTCGTTCGACAAAGGTGTAGCAGAAGTAAGAAGGACTTGACAAGTTTCTTCAGGATATTAAGACGGCAGATGGATAAGGTCGCTACTCGCTACGCTAGACTCAGGACTTCGAAAGTCTAATTCGCAGAGATTTTCGGTGGTCCCAGTTCGCGCCACAGGCGGGTCCATAACGCCTGTGGAGTTTGGAATTTGTATCCTGATATTAACTCTATTTCTTGTACTAGGGACTTATACATCGTTTGAAGGATAGAGTCTTAAGTGCTCCGTAGTTTATGTATTTGATGGTTATGTACAGTAATATATATTCATGATGTGTTCCTTTGCCTCTGCGCTGGAACCAAGCTTCAGCTCAGTCTGTCCATTCATTATTCCAAAATAACACCATTTCAACACTAGAAATAGAACCCAGCTGCGAGTACACTGACATATATATGTTTCCTTGACTCGGTGCGTCGTACCCATATGTACAGTGCGGGACCCTCAAGGATTCGGAGAGGTCGAGCAATGAAAATGGAACAGTCAAGACATGTAGCAGTAGAGTACTTGATAAAGACAAATGAGAAAGCTCTTATACACAGTCTACGAGAGATACTTCCAGCTGACACGGCCACGGCAATGATCTGTTCAACACCCCTGTGCCAAAGTCGACGGACCCGACAGTGGTCAATTGACAAAGGCCATTAATATATGCACGAACATGAAGAGACTGAATACTCCGACAAGAATTCGTGCTTGGAACATCTGGGACTGCTATTAGAGCCGCAATCATGAAGAGCCCACCGAATGAACTTAAGCTTTCGGCAGTCACTCTTGGCAGGGACAGAGCCTTGCTGCAAAGTATCCATAAGAAGCGTCAATTCGTTCTCAACAACAACTTCCTGAGAGGAGCCATGAAATCAAAAAATTCTCTCGAGACGCTCATGCGGCAAAGGTGATCGTATATCAATGCTATCAGGTGGGCGAGCACTTGTGGACCGAGGAGCCGAAATCCGCCAGGCACAGTACGGACTCGTATGTCACGTCAATCACCAACAACAAGAAAACATCCACTAGTATCCCGTCCATCGTCAATCTGTACCAGTTTCTCCTTGATCGATTCAGTGGACGAGAGACTATGTTCAGGGCCGGTTGCGAAGTGTCTTGGAACGAAGAGGGGGAGGGTCGGGATCGAATCGATCTTTGACGGGGACTAAAAACAAGTATTGTTAGCATCCGTAACGATCCTCAATGGCAATAATAGGAAATCGTAATAGCAGCGATATTGTTTTTGTTTTTGCCGGCTCGAGACCGACGGGAAGGAGGTGCTTTGCCCCCAGCCGGGCGCTGCTAACAAGGAGTCGAACCCTGCTCGCCACTCCTACCCAAATCCCCCAGCAAGCCCACACAACCCACAAACCCACAAACCCACAGAAACGTGAAACCCGCATGGCCCACATATTCGGAAAGCTCCGAATGATTCAAACAAAAATTCGATGGACTCGGGAAATTCCGAGCCCCGAAAGAAACCACTGAGACACCAGTCGAGACAGCGAGCCATGGCGAGAAACCAACCGAAGGCAAGGTCCGGGTACAGTAGACAGGCGGTTCGCGGCGAACGCGAAGTAGTCAAAATTTGCAACGCTGACGGTAGACACTGAGGTATCCCAAGTTCTATGCAGCCTCGAAGGGACCCCATAGGAAGAGAAACCAGTTGTTTATCATACCTTGGCGACAAAAACGAAGACGCCGCCAGTATTGTGCGTGAGAACTGCACGATGCAATCCCCCAAAACAATAGCATGGCGTGAGGGCCAATCTCCTCGGAAGTCGAGTCGTCAATTCATGAGACCTGTGGCCGTGCATACAAGCGCCTGAACGTCAGGCATCAGCACGACCGGCGGCCCTTATGTATGACGTCTTTGGTCGTTCCGTTATCCAACAACCCCGCATACAAGCGCCTGAACGCCAGGCATCAGCAAGATTGATATAGAGATCGGTCCGAGCCACATATATAGAGTACTAGTCGGTCGAGCCATGTGGGCATACGAAGAATAAAAACGCACGCTCGCTGTAACATGGGGACACGATTTTCTAACCCTATTTCCTTTTGCTTTTGATGCCGTCGTTTCTGCAATGGGGCTGCTACCCCGATGCGACAATGGCAAGAAGCACATCCGTGTGACTCTGATCAGGCAGCGGGCGTATGTTCAACTTGTATCAAAGGCAGTGCCATGATGACAGTGTCAAGTCCGTTGATGAAACCAGGCTCAGGTCGCGCGCACAATCCCACGGAGACAGAATAGCAAGGACACGGCCTTCGTTCAACTACCTTTCGTTTGACTCATGTTGCTAACGAGAGAAGCCTCCCTTAGCAACAGACAAAGACGGTAACCAGGTCAGCCTGACGATCATGCACTCAAAGTCAATGCGAGCAGTAACAAGTCAGTAACGTCAATCGACACAATCGCTGTCATCCGGGGACCGGAGGATACATGCAGCGTCGACGCGAAGACTCGACAACCATGCTCACAGAAGAGATACAGAGACAGACAACCGACGAATCTTGTGATATGTTCGACCATGAGTTGTACGTCCAGGGCCACGACGTATGAATCAACTGGGCCAACAAAGTCAAACAAGTTCAGTTCCTTCAATCACGCACAATAGCCGCAAGTGCCGAGCAGTGAAACGAGGAAAAGGCCAAGCGGATGGGGACACGAAGCCAGTCAATCCTCAAAACCACGCACAGTAGCAAATATCAGCCGAGCAGTGAGACGAGAAGAAAACGAAGCAGAGTCTGCTTCAATTTTGTCAATTCTCGTGGAACCATGCCGTTAACGACAGAGACAACTACCCATGGTGGGAATCGAACCCACTGCACAAGACGGGGCAATGGTCTTGGCCACCCAGCACGCTCTGTCAACACGCCACCCGGGTTTGGTTTGAGGAAATGTAGGATACTGACTTTCATGCTGACACACGACATGATTCTGATTGTGCCAACATGCTTATTAGTAGCCAGATGATTTGGGTATTAGAGGCATACAGCAACCGACACCCGCTCATGACTTCATGAGGGAACTTGTCGTCGCCGGGGTGTAATACCCTTGGCTCAAGAGAATGAGAAAGAATTAAGGAAAGGAAAGGAAGGGAAAGAAGAGAGAACACATTGACGAAATAAGAGGTCGATTGAAAACAGGAGGAGCTAGCTCGAAACGCGTCAATACAAACACGAGACGTGAAACGCGACTGCACTGAGAGATACAGGATAAGGAGTATCGTCAGATATCATCTAGACAATGAATAAGGACACAATTTCTAAATGAGATCAAGCAACTGCTATACATTCCACAGAGCTTGGTTGTCGTCGTCGCTGCTCAGGAGACATGGCAGGTGTGGTGGAGCAGGAGAGGGTGGAGGAGGGAAAGCTTGAGTGGGGAGAGACAGGATTTAAACTGGCCGGGCCTAGACTGGCTTACCCACCCCACCAAACCACACCCACCCCACCCAATCCACGCTGTGGGTTGGATAAGGGTTGGCCCTAATCCAACCCATGTGGATATGGATGAATGATATCCAACCCACATAGGTATGGATAACCTATTTAGGTGCATATAACTAGTAGAATTTAGTAGGTGTATAGACTTAGTGGTTTATCTAAACCTATCTAATTAATTAATTTTCTATATCTATTAGTCTTCAAAGTAATCAGTGGTAAGAAACTAATTATTAATAACTATATTTTTTAGATATATTATTTTTAGGTTTCTAGAATCTAGCATTAAGAGATTTAATAGTATATAATAATTAAAT